GGGGAAGGCCAGGGCTGTGACGCGCCCATGGTGAAGTTCCCCAGGCCGGCCAGACTTGCCAATCCCGCCTGAAAAAAAAAAGAAATTGAGAGAAGAAGAGGAGGAGGAGAGGAAGAAGAGGAAGTGGAGAAGAGGAGGAGGAACGGGAGGAAGAGGAGGAAGTGGAAGAAGAGGAAGAGAATGAGGAAGAAGAGGAAGTGGGAGAGTGAAAGAAGAGGAGAGGAAGAAGGAAGAGGAAGAAGAGAAGAGACGAAGAGAAGAATAACGGTAGAAAAGATAATGGTGATAGGAAGGTGTTGGGAAATTATTAGGGAAGGATCATAGTTTTGATCTTGATTTTTAAAAAAATATTTTACTTTATTCAAATAATTATGTATATATACGTACATGCACACACCACACACACACATACGTACACACACACACACACACATATATTATATATATATATATATATATATATATATATATAATATATATATATATATATAACTCTCTCTCTCTTCTCTCTCTCTCTCTCTCTCTCTCTCTTCTCTCTCTCTTCTCTCTCTCTCTCTCTCTCTAAGTGGATAGATGGAAAGGTGTCGGATAGATTTTTTAGACATTAATACTTATACAATATCATATTTAAAAAAAAAGGGTGCTTTTATAATCTACACTCATTTTATTCATTATGTTTATGTCTGTGTGCCAGACACGAAATATGTATTAATACTGTACACAAACATATTAGCGTGTGTGTGTGTGTGTGTCGTGTGTGTTGTGTGTGTGTGTGTTGCTGTGGTGTGTGTGTGTGTGTGTGTGTTTCTGTGTGTGGGTGTGCCTGTGTGTGTGGGTGTGCCTGTGTGTGTGGGTGTGCCTGTGTGTGTGTGTGTGTGTGCGTGCTGATGCGTGTGTGTGCGTGTGCGTGCGTGTTGTGTGTGTTGAGTGTGTGTGTGTGAACCTAATAGTCTTCCCTCTAGGAACGCCCGCCTTGTCAGCTGAAGACTGACAGTCTAACTAACAGCTGTTTACTCCTCGTCGTCAGAGAGTCATATCCGTGAAACTGTAATTATGGTGTGTCCCGAGATGTAGCTTTAGCTTTATTTTTTATTTATAGCTCTACTCTCAGCCTTGGAAAAGATTCAATTATCTGATAATTACTATGAACTTATTTATATGTACGTGCTGCCACACACACCACACACACACACACAACACCACACACACACACAACACACACACACACACACACCACACACAACACACACACACACACACACACACACAACACACACACACACGCACACACGCACGCGCGAACGCACGCACACAGACAGACACGCACACGCACACTGAGAGATAGAGATAGATAGAGAGACATAGTTTTATATAGACAGAAAGACAGACAGACAGATAGCTAGATCGAGATGTACAGATAGTCGAGGTCATTCTCCACAGCACGAGAAAGCTACATACCACGCATGGCAGATCTATAACATCATGATTCCGTGACACAGTGTGGAATCCATGGTGAACAGATTGCAACAGGAACAACGAAGGGAAGGGCAAGAAAACACACGAATATGCATATTCGTGTGTTTTCTCGCCCTTCCCTTCGTTGTTCCTGTTGCATTCCGTGACACTGTATTGCACCAAACGCTACCCAACTGCAAGATTTCCAGGGGTGCATACCCAGCGCGTCACCCTATGCTCAGGGTATCGACTACGAGGTCTTTGTAAGTAAGTGTCTAGTCACGTGAGGGTTCTACTTATACAGACCTTCATGTACTTCTCGCTTGTTGTGTGATGTTTCGGAAATTGAGTAATTACGGTGAGTTTTATTTTATTATTTTCGTTGAGTTTTCTTTAGGCACGTAAGTCGTAAAAAAAAAAATCATTGATATTTTAAAATTCCTTTACTTGTAAGTAGCAACTGGTCGATATTATATTTATTTTATTTTTTTATTTTTAGAATTTACAAGGTGTATACAAGTTCAAAGTCATATAAGAGACATTCCATTATGCACTTATGGAAACAAATGATATTGCAATGTTGGTGAATAGTATATAAACAAAGAGAAAAATAGCTTCAGGCAGTTTTAAATATATTTCCTTAGTTTATGTAAGTTGCGGTTTTTCATTAATCACTTTCCGATTTTCAAGTAAGTTTATTACTTAAGTGTAGAAGCCCTTGGTCGTTACTGGTAGTTTTTCACTTAGAACTTACAAGGTGTATATAAGGATTTAATAACTTCAGCCGGTTTTAAATATTATATTTTCTTAGTTTATGTAAGTTGCGTTGCCAACTTTTATCAGCAATAACATTCCTCTTCGAAAGACATCATATTATCTCATACCTTCTTATCACTTTATACACCTTCGTAATATTGCAACTTTAGCTTCTTTTCCCGTCTATCTCATTCTTTTTTTCTTTCTTTCTTTCTTTTTTCCATCTCTCTAAACCCTTTTCCTGCAGTTCTGATTCGTAATAGATTCCTTGTCGTCAGGACTGCAACTACTGCTATTATTTTTGTTGTTGTTATAATCATAACTACAATATTTGCATATGATGCAACTTAATACACACAAATTTTACTGTGCCTGTCTCTCTCTCTCTCTCTCTCTCTCTCTCTCTCTCTCTCTCTCTCTCTCTCCTCTTCTTCTCTCTCTCTCTCTCTCTCTCTCTCTCTCTCTGCGTTTCTTCTGAGCACCGATACAAGTTCTATCATCTATATGTTTATTCATATATTTCCTGTTTTTACCCCGAATTTTGAAATGTATGTATGTAATATCTAATTATACCCATAACCTTAAGCCCCCGACGTTGACGAGAGGGAATCTGACAAGAGAGATGAGAGAGAGAGAGAGAGAGAGTGAGAGAGAGAAGAGAGAGAGGAGAGAGAGAGAGAGATAGAGAGGAGAGAGAGAAGAGAGAGAGAGAGAGAGAGAGAGAGAGAGAGAAGGAGGAGGGGGAAGAAAAGAGAAAAAAAAGGAGAGGAGAGAAAAAAACTGTAAAAATAAAGGAAGAGAAGATAATACAAATTATATAAGTATATATATATATATATATATAATATATATTATATATATATATATAGTAATAATAATATATATATATTATATATTATATATATATAATATATATATATATACATACATGATTATATATATATATATAGATATTATATACACACACAACACACACCACACACACACACACACACACACATCAGTGGAGATTGTCAGGACACCTAAAAGTTAGTGTTCAGTGTGTATGATCGCCTATCAGCTGATAAAAATACAATGAGGAAGTGGACGCGAATCGAAAACGAATAATTTCACTCGAAATTTTGGAAAATATGACTGAACTAAAGCGAAGCAGGTGAACTAAATTCCCTTTTATCTTCACTCAGGTGTCGAAAATAGTAGATTGTATAATATGTTTTCAGATGATCAAGCTATCTAGGAACTTAAATTCGGAGAGACAAAACTAGAAATATATCCATATGGTCTTGAGAATCTTGTGAAGACAACATGAAGAATGAGCAAAGAATATGGCAAGACTTTTGATTGAGTTAGTGTTTTTTAGCCATAAAATGCTCCCCTTTCGATCTTTTTTCTTTTTCTTGTCTCCTTTTAATTCGTTTTGTTTTGTTGTTCCCTGAATTTGTTTACATTTCAAAAATGAGTACGTCTTTTTTTTTCTTTATCGTGATGTATCAGCAATTTTCAAAGGACTAGTAATCATTTCATGACATGTTTTGTTTTTGTTCTTATCATTTATATGTTCTCTATTTTGCAATAAGTCTCCATTCAAGAAGATATTTTAGTAGAATAACCTGATAACCTTCATTTTCTTTATTATCTTCTTTTTCATAAGTCAATGTTTTTCATCAGTAAATTTCGTTAGAAGGCCATCAGTATTCTTTTTATGTTACCATTTCCTACGAAGGAGGAAAAGAATCTTTACGAACTAGATGGAATTCCTTGCCTCATGTTATCTTCAAAATTCTTATTTGTTTCTTGCTACTCTCTCTCTCTCTCTCTCACTCACACACACACACACACAAACACACACGCACACACACACACACACACACAACACGCGCGCGCGCATACACACATACACACACACACATATGAAATACGAATAATAACGAACATTACTTGCAACAGCAGCCTCTTCCGACGTTCAGACGCCGGCTCCTGGCTGGCACCGTCTTCGGCTCCATCTGTAAGACGCTACGAAAAATTAGGAATAATGAAACGGACAATGAAAATTAGGTATTGCTTTTTTACTTATTGTTTGTTTATTCATGCTAATTCCGCTATCTTTTCATGTGCTTTGGCTAAGGCTTCTACTACTATTCTTACCTTAGCATTGTCAAAAAAAAGTGTTCGGACGAAATTTTATTTAGTAAAGGCGGCATGGACTTGCTGAGTTGCCAGTTTGTTTTAAATATTGACCCTCGGTTACAAATGTCAGCCTCTGTAAGGATAAGTATTTTGAGAAATAACACTGTCACGCTAATACGTTCGACAGGATAAATGCAAGAAAAACAGGATCTTGGGGCTTCAAGAAGTTAACTTTATTTCCCTTCTACGACAAAATACGTAACCAACAATTATGAGTCTACGAATAAGTAAAGCAAAATATGTGCTGAGCATTCTGATGGTACTCAGTAGCAGCGGGAGTAGTGAAAGTAATCTTAGAGAAAATGAAAATAAATCAATACTAATACAATACACACACAGACCACACGGCGCGTGCGTTTATGTGCATACATAATAAATTTCATTACTGATCTAGCGAATAATAATAAAAAAAAAAAAAAAAAAAAACATTCATTTTTGTTAATTTCTGTCTTTTATCATGGATTTAAAATAATCTTGGTGACCAAAACAAAGCGCGCGATACACTTCTAAAATCATAATTTTTATTCCGTTTTAGAATGCGTACAAGTGGTTTTTACCCCCCCCCCCCAACCTCCAGCGTAAGGCTTGTAGACTCGTGAAAA